GTACTTCTAAGATTTTCCAATAGCATATGATCAATTTCAAATTAATTAGAACTCTGAAATAAGATTGTTAGTTGACTTTTACAGTGTTTTCTCTAAAATTTTTATCTTTTATAAATATTAATAAGTGTTAAATGAACAGATATTTGTAATGATATATAATTGTGTTACAACAGTTAAGAAAACAGAGCTTAGGGCAAAAGAGAGTTTTAAAAATAATCAATTTAAAAAATACTCCAAGTGTTTATAATATTCAAATAACAATGTCATACAAAAGGACAAATATTGTATGACTCCACTTATATATGGTACTTAGAGTAATCAAATTCATAGAGACTGAAATAGAATGGGGGTGGCCAGGGACTGGGGGAGGAGGAATAGGGAGTTACTGTTCAATGGATACAGAGTTTCAGTTTGGGAAGATGAAAAAAGTTCTGGAGATGGAGGGTGGTGATGAATGTACTCAACAGCATTAAACTGTTTACCTAAAAATGGTTAAAATGGTAAACTTTATATTATGTACATTTTGCTACAATAAATAGTAACATCACTAACATTACTGTTTCAACAATATAAAACATTGCTTATGGTGGGGAATTGTCATTTTATAACTATTCAGTTTTACAACAGGCGACAGGAGAACATACCCACAATCAAGGTGATGCCCATGCTGAGGGAGCTGACCCATGCGGTCAGGCCACGGCTCTGATGGAATTCTTCAAGCCATTCCACATTGAGGACCCCCAGGGCCATCTGGGAACCCATGATGAGGATGTGCACGAAGAAAGAGGAAAGGACCATCATCCAAGCCCATCCACCATCAATGTTTGGATGGGATTTAAGTGTCTTCTTGTCTTTGGGGACATCTTCAAAATCATACCCAATATCTTCATGACTTGTATACATTTTCCAAGATTTTCTGAAATACATATGACAAATCATTTTATTAAATGTCAAAACAAAACAAAAAATCTTCATCTTCTTTGGACAGCTCTACCTCCTCATCATAACCAAAGTGGCCCCATCATCCTATCAGACCTTCAGATGAATCTTTGTCATCATGCAGATTTGGGAACACTTCTCACTTTTTCTCAGGACCAAGTGCTTTTATGAAAGTTGTTTGATCTTTAAAGTCACTCTACATGTAAGTATTATAATCCCTATTTCAAATATATGAAAATAGAGAAAGGAGGCAACTTTCCCAAAGTCTCATAGGTAATAAGCAGTGTGGTCAGACAGGAAATGAAGGTTTGAACCCAGCTATTTCTGACTCTAAAGCTCATTCCTAAGTCCCTTATTGAGATGGATGAAAAAGGTATCAGAGAAAGAAGACGCCTGGCCTTAGGCAGCGTTGCAGAGTAGCTTCACCTTGGTGGGGCCCTGGCATACGTTCTGGTTCTCATTTTGTGGACCCAAGTGCTCAATAGAGCCAGAATGGATTAACCTCAGGGGGACTGACTTGTGTGTACCCAACTCAGGAGAGATTTACAAAGTAGAAGCCGATTAACTATCTTACAATGGGAGATACAGCGTTCTAATGTTGGTGATTTGTGCTTTGCCTAGATACATCTCTCAAGATGTTCAAACAAGAGGAAGGAGGCTGGATGGAGCTGGGAGGGGGTGATGCTAAGTCAGGGAGAACTCTGGTGTTTTATTTTTTTAGGATGAGAATTAAGGGGGTGCATAAGAACGGAGGATAAGGAGCAAAAGAAGGAGAGGATGACTAGTCTTGGAGGTGGTGGGACCAGAGGGTTGATCTTGATCAGGGGGAGAAACCTATCCTCCTCTGAGACTAGAGAAAGTAGAGGTGGACGGAGATAAGATTGTGAGTAGAGGATAGAGAGTTACACCTACTGGTCTAAATTTTTTGGTGAAGTAGGATGTTTAGGTCATTGGCTGAGATTGAGGAGGATGGTGGTTATGAAAAGGCCTCAATGTTCAGGATAATGGAAGAGACTGTTGCCTACTACATATGGAAATGATTGTTGGGCAGTTCCAAATGGAGCTGAGTCTTGCAGGGCACCATTGTAAGGCCACAGGTAGTGGAGCACCAAGCACAGAACAGCAGGAGCACTCTGCCCCAAAAACAAGCAATTAGGTGGAGTATCATCCATAGAGAACTTTAAAACAACAATTGACTCAAAGTTGCTCTGCTTTTTTATGATCAATATGTGCCAGCAGTGCCCTAGCTGGTTTGGCTCAGTGGATAGAGCGTCGGACTGAAGGGTCCCAGGTTGGATTCCGGTTAAGGGCACATGCCCAGGTTGTGGGCTCGATCCCCAGTAGGGGGCGTGTGGGAGGCAGCCGATCAATGATTCTCTGTCATCATTGATGTTTCTATCTCTCTCTCCCTCTCCCTTCCTCTCTGAAATAAATAAAAATATATTTTAAAAAAGATGTGCCAGCAATTCTAGACAATGTCGCTAATAAAATACTCCTCTCCAAAAAATCTTTTGCTGGTCAAAGTTCCAAACAGTTATGTTTCAATATTATGCATCTGTAAGCTTCAAATTAGGGTGCTTTATTACTCATCCTTTCTTAAACATTGTATTCTACATGGAAATTATTTCATGGAACCGCTGGTTACGCAGTTGAGCCCTGGCACAGGTGTGGCCCAGTTACACACACTTGTTTTGAGAGTAAATTCCTAAGAGTGCAGAGTTGCTGGAGCTCACCTCGGCTCAATCCGGGTCTGCGGTCCCTGCATTGCCACATGTCACTGCAGGACATTTGAGTGAACTGTAACAGCAGTTACTGTGGAGATGAAGACCAGAACTCGAGTTACTTCACCATTCTGGCACTCTACTAATATATGCCCACCTGGAGATTTTATTTTTGTTGAAAATTTAAAATAGCAAAACAGAGTTCAAGAGTGAGAGGTGAAAAACTTTGGTTTGGAAATTAAAATTTGGAGTCAATACATGAAATGGTTTGCTCAATTTGAATAATGTCTTGAAAGCGAAATCTATTCTTTTTTTCACAATCTATACTAATAAAAGCCTATGTGATCGTCACGCCCCCATGCTGTGATGCCCTCATGCTGCAACTAACTATCACCAGGAGGCTGCATGTGCAGCAGGCGCAGGCGGGTGGGCGGGGCTGCGAGAGCTGTGAGGTGCAGGGATGGGCAGGGACTTGACACTGCGTCCCTGGTGGAGCGGATGGCAGCTGCCACTGCCCAGGGCTGGCTCCAGACTCAGGCAAGCCGCTGCCCAGGGCTGGCCAGAGGCTCAGGCAACAAGGGCCTGGCTGAGGCTCAGGCAGCCTCGCTGCCAGCAGTGGCAGCAGCAGAGGCGATATGGGGGCATCGCCTTCCCCTGATCACCGGGTCGCCTCCCGCAGAGGGAGGCCAGAGGCAGCAGCAGCGAGGGGGTGATGGTGCCTTCCCCTGATAAGCCGATCGCCTCTGGCAGAGGGAAGCCAGACTGCGGCTTAGGCCCACTCCCCGGGCTGAGGGACCCCCCCCCCCCCCCGAGTGCACAAATTTTCATGCACCAGGCCTCTAGTTAATTTATAACAGAAGAACAAATAAAATCATAATTATTACAGACCATTACAAATGATTATTGCTGAAAAATCATTTTGTGGCAATGAAGGATGATGGTATAAAAATGATCCCAAATACACTGGGAACACTTCCAACTGTGGGAATGTCCCAGGTGTGTACTGACGTGAATGGGGAGGACAGAGAAGCAGACTCTGAATTGCAGAGCCTCTTTCTGTATGCTCCTAATCGCTCCTAAGAATTGTTTTCACCTTTTTAAAGGTCACATGACCTGCAAAATCAAAAATACTTACTTTCCGACTCTTTATAGCAGGGGTGGGGAACGTCCAGCCCTCGGATGGTATAAGGCCTGCAAAATCATTTGGTTTGGCCTTGCCAAGGCAACCGCAGGACTCAAAATTCAATAAATCTAGGAGCTTTTTTATAGCAGCATAAACTTGTATTAAGTGAATTATATTAAGTGAGTGATGTTATAAATATCCAAATGGCCCTTGATAGATAAAGGTCCCCCACCCATGCTTTGCAGGGAAAGTTTGCTGATCCATGCACTATAGCATTGGTTCTGGTTAGCAGTTTGTCAGGGAGACATGGGCTCCAGGAAACCAGGATGACTGTGGAAGAGCAATGTCATGGATCTGTCTTGGGGCTCATCTTGATTTTTCCTGTCTCTCATACCTCATTCTTGTTATTATTGTTTTTATCTTTTAAATGATTCTATCTCTTAAATAGTTGTTCAGTTCTCAATTGCCACACTTCCTGCTCTCAGCCACAGTCCTTTCCACTTCCCCATTATCCAGACTGCAGGGAGTAATAAAATGCTGTCTTGCCATATAATTTTCTCACCTCGTCAAATTATCTTTGGGATTAACTCCCCGCCCCCCCCCCAACACACAAACACACACACACACCTTGGTGTGGCTGCCCAAGGCTGCCAGGTTCTCCTCCTGCACATCTGCCCACCCCCACCCCAGCCTAGTCCCTCCTCCTATCCCCCGACCTTAGCATTTTGCTGTCCAGCCCTGTGAAGCACCTGCAGCTCCCCACACTTGGCACAGTCTCTCTCTCTCTCTTTTTTTAATATTTTTATTGAGTTCAGACAGGAATGGAGAGGGAGAGAGAAATAGAAACATCAATGATGAGAGAAAATCATTGATTGGATACCTCCTGCCCACCCCTTACTGGGGATCAAGCTCACAACCCAGGCATGTGCCCTGACCTGGAATCGAACCTGGGACCCTTCAGTCCCCAGGCTGATGCTCTATCCACTGAGCCAAACTGGCTAAGGTGGCACAGTCTCTTTTAAGCTTTTGTGTATGCCTTTCTCTTCTTTCCTGTTTCGGGAACATACTTCTCTTTTTCTAACCTCCTGGTCCTCTTCTGCTCATGTTTCAAAATTCAACTAAATTATAACAGTGAACCCAGAAATAGTAAGAAAAAATCCTCCACAAACATGTCAAATATCCAATATTAGACAGAGTAGGTGTTAAGTAAATCAGTCATGGTATAGCCGTGCAAAGCAAGTCCACCATCAAAAATCAAATCACACTGAACTCTGAAGACATAGAAAGTGTGAATTATACTTGGGGGCCACAAAATGGGACACATGTCATGATCCCTTTGTTGTTAAGAATATGTATTTATAGGAAAGAAGACTGGAGTGAAACAAAGAAAAATGATGGTCATTATTTTTTGGATGACAGTCTTACAAATAATTTTTGCTCTTTTTAAAAAAATCTCATTGGTAAAAAAAAAATAACAACTAAGTAAACATATATTAACTTTATAAGAAACTAAAGGTCCCTTTATCTTTTAAACACCATCTG